ACTCCCTCGGCAGGTAGAAAGGACGGCACTTTATGATCATAAACTCCGCCAGTGGTGAGCAGTGTCTGCATATTACTGTAGCGTCCCGGCACCACTCATCACGGATGTAAACACAGACACCGCCGCCTCGGGTCTTTCCTCCGTCTACGAGGGTCCTGTCCGCTCGGTAGCATGTTAGCTGCTCCAGTTGTACCGCGGAGTCAGGGATGTTGTCATGCAGCCAGGTCTCAGTGAAAACAAACACACAACAGTTACTGACTGTACGATTGGTTGATTTAAGCAGTCTAATATGGTCTAATTTGTTGTCGATAGATCTTACGTTTGATAGACTTTGATAGATCTCAGAATGCGTAAGTATCAAAAGTATCGATATTTTGATTTCAGAATCGATTTCAGAGCATAAAGATCCAGAATCGGAAGTATCGATATTTTAGGATCGATCCGCACATCACTAACTCACGCACTCTCCTCACCGCTGTCTGTCTATCTGTCTTAGACAAGAAAATTAGACAGAAAATTAGGGGGCTCCACTTCACAGCGCCCCCTCTCTGTTTTCACATAATGGTATGATCCTATATCCTCTTATCTGATTGGCCACGATGCTGACCAATCAAAACAAAATTCTGCCTTGCGCAGAGCCCAGGCTGAGCACTGAGATAAGCAGCGAAAGGAAAAAAAAACTGGGAGCCGGTTCTCAGTCGTTGCGAGCTGGCTCTTCTGATTCACTACAAAGCATCGGCTCTCAGAGCCGCATCTTTTGCGCATGACACATAACTAGCAGGAACAAGAAGAGGTCGCACTGAGTAGCATTGAACTGAGACAGTGGAGAGAAGACTGTTTGAATCATGCTCGGACAAGCCGTGAGACGATTTACGACATCTGCTGCCCGTTCTTCACACTATGCTGAAGGACCAGGGAAGGTTAGACGATGTCTTTTAGATGGTTCAAGTATTTAAGTGTGTCGTTTCCTGACGCGGCCGTATCTACTATTGCAAGCTAACTTCAGCTAGCGGTTAGAGGTCACGTCTATAAGTGCATGTTAATGTTTTGTTGGTGAAGTCTAAGTCAAAGACTCAGAATTTTAAATGTGAATACTTTACAATAGTTCATAAAGACACAAACTTAATCACGCCAGATGTGTTGTACGTCATTGTGAGCCAAGGACAAGCTAGCTATGATTAGCGCTGAAAGTAGCAATTGCTGCTCAACCAGCAGTTTCCCCTTAAAAATTAGATTTCTTTTTTTTTAGTCATACGTTTAATCATAATTTACATTTATTTTAACATAAATTGTCTAAAAGCATAGTCTGGTGATTAAAACATGCATCGAGTCGTATTTTAAGTCCGTTGATTCAACTTTGCAAAATGTGATGATTTTTTTATATATATTTAGTTGACAGTTACTAAAGGATTAACTATCTTAAGAGTGAAAGTAAAGATTGATATTTTTACTCTTCGTTTTGGTAACAATAAAAGTTGTCACTCTAGAGTATGGATTTGTGGAGTGTATTTCTTGTTGTGCGTCGTCGTTTAAACCAGGTCATCTAAGGACAGGTCTTTCTTAATATGGAGTAATGTCTGTCAATAGCAACACACATTATGCTAGTTATTTCTTACATAATATTTCAGTTTTAATATTAGTTCATTATTGACTACCACATTAGCTTTTAAAACTCAACTGATTGCATCAATCGGTCGACGGGTTTGAATATTCATGTAAAACTAGTAAAATCAGACAAACGTGGTTTTAGAATCTAATGTTGTTTTTTCTTGTATTTTAGGCTACTTCCAAAAGTTAGATTTAACTTTTAAAAAAGATAATTTGGTTTCAATAAAACTGTAATGTTTGTTTGTATGTGTGTTTAGTGAGTTAAACATAATTAATGCAACGTTGTTTGTAAAGGATATCTTGGTTGAATATCTTTCTTAAAATATTAGAATTCATTACAGTATTATGTAATTCTTTGAAGTATTTAAGCTGAAAAATATTTAATTACTGCCATAATACAAGCAGCCTGTCCCTTTAAAATGTGTTTAATTTTATACCTACAGCTGTTGATACTCTAACTATATTTGAGGGTTTTTTTGCGTAAGAAAAACCTGGTTAAATAGAAAAAAAACTAACTTGTAATAAGAAAACAAGTAATTTCTGTCTTTATAACAGAACCTGCCATTTTCTGTGGAAAATAAGTGGCGTCTTCTGGCCATGATGGCGGCGTTCTTTGGCAGTGGCTTCGCATTCCCTTTCATTGTCGTCAGACATCAGATCCTAAAGAAGTAAAATGGCTGCACTATTGTGCTGCCTACCAGGTAACTGTCAGACCTTGGTTTATCTGGCTCATCTGCTTACAATGTCAGTTTGATGTAGCATAAACCTTAAGCAGAAACCTGAGGTCCTCTGTCATATACCGTCTTTCATTTTGTGTCTTTAGTTTTTTGTAGAGTGGCACATCTTAAATATATTACACGTGTCAGAGTTGGAGTAATAAATTCTGTATGGTTTCATAATGCTATTGCTGTCTTTTAGATAAGCATCTGATTTAGCAGGTCAGAATGACAGTTTAGTGCAGCCATTGATCTCTATCAGGTGAGAGCAGGCTATAGTTGTCAACACATTAATCTTCTCAGTGTTTACCCAAATTGCTTTTCTGTCATCAGATGTGTGCAAGTCATTTAATCACAGTCTGTCTTGCTTTGTTCTCTTGTCGTCTTGCAGATCGTCAGCTGGAACATAGTTATCCATCAGAGTTCTGTCCCTGCAAAAGAATGGGAATCTGTTATTTTTCTTTGTAAATAAAGTTTCCTTAAATATGATTGGGCCTGTTCTCTTTTCTTGCACAATAAAGACATAAAGAGCTGCTCAGTCACTTTACTCAGTTTTACTTGACTCGTTAAAAGCGAGGAGCTTAAACTATATGAATGACATTTTTGAGACGTCTTTAAGTATTAAGAGTCTTTCTCACAAAAAAACACCCTGTGTCTGTATAGATCCATCCATCCATCCATCTTCATCCGCTTATCCGTTACCGGGTCACAGGGGCAGCAGTCTTTATGACCGCCACCCAAATCACACTGCACCACTGTACCAACCCCCCTAAGCCTTCCTGCAGGTGGTGAGTCCACTGGAAGGTACCAACCGCCCTAACCGGGATTCAATGTTGCCCAGGAGGTGAACCCTGGGGTTCCACACCAATGGCAGAGACATTGCCTCTGGGTCGAAGTGCCACTGTCTGTATAGATGTAGTTTGAAATACGTAAATGAAGTAAAAGTTGAAGGCACTTAATTTCACTGCTGGTAACAAATGAATATGGTGGAAATTGAAAAAGGGCCTGTGGTGACTTGTATTAAAATAAACCCCATCTTGTTCTTTCAGCTCTTCTGATGGGTATTGTTCAGCCACTTGTTCTCACCTTATCAGAAGAACTTTACTGAATGACACTCTTACTTCAATTAACCCTGTGCTTCTTGGTTTAATTATCCAAGGACAAGGTTTTCAAAATAGGCCATAAGGTGAACCCGATTATCGTTTCATCTCGCTCCGACGTCTGGGAACTACACAATCTCAACTTCATAAAAAATAATGCGTGTCCTATTGCCCGTCCCTGTGAAAAAATATACTTACAGCAATGACTCCCACATGTGGACTCCCACAGTGTCAGGGCTCTTAATGATGACCAGACCTAGAATCCATTTGGCCCACTTTAGAAGACTTTTGGGAGAATTCCTCTCTATCGATAACGTTAAGTAAAACCATGGAGGCAGCCATGTTACCTGAAGTGTTGACATCAATAAGCTACTCGATTGGTCTAGCACGATCACGTGTTGAACCGTGCCACCGCTCGTGCACCAAAATCTTACTGCGCCCTGTAGATGCTAGTTCAGGGCGCAGGATATTTTGGGGGCAGGATATTTTGCGACAAACTTTTTGATGTAAGTTTAACATCACTCGTTCTTTTTTGTGAAGTCGAGATCGTGTAGTTACCAAACGTCAGAGCGGAATTCAATTTCTAAAGGACTTTTCGTAGTTCACGGCCTAAAAAGGGAGGTGTGGTTGCATTGTAGCAGAAGAAGGGGTGACGAAAAAGTTTAGAGGTACAGTATTCATGTTGGTTTTATGGCTGAAGTCCTTATGCAGGTCTAGTGAGGTTGGTTCGTATTTTACCTTGCTGGACAGAAAACGGACTAGGGAGCTACATGGACATTCAAAGGACATTTCATTAGGTACACTGTTCAACTGTTAGTGCAAATATTAATGTGCTTATTATGCTGCCAGCAAATTGCACTTTTAATGTGACATGCTAGTGTTTGAAGCATCAGGATGGGGTAGTGATTTGAAGTAGTAGGGTAACCAACAGCCACCCAGAGGACTTGCAGGTAAATATATATATCGTATTTTCTTCACTATAAGGCGCACTTAAAAGCCTTTAATTTTCTCAAAAATCGACAGTGTGCCTTATAACCCGGTGCGCCTTATGTATTACTTATGGTTGTGCTTACCTCGAACCGATTTTATAAAGCCAAACCACACAGCGCATCACACATGATGGCA